AGTGTCCGGATCTGCCCTGCCGGGAACCGTCGCAGGCCGGCGGCCTTCACAGGCATGAGAAACCTGGGGACTGATGTCAGGGCACTACTTTTTTTTTTTTTTCCCCCTTACCAGTATTTATGTAATAATTTCCATAATAATCCTCACACATCTATGAGTAGCGGCATGATTCTCCCCACATCCACATGTGTCTGTCTCGTCTTCTTTAAAATCAAGGAGTCTCCCACCTTCCTGTCCTGCCTCCTTACAAACACTTAGAAAACAAATACTTATTAAAAAATCCTCCAGTATGTTGTTATTGGACTCTCATTATTTGCAAATTAATCTTGTGGTTTTGAGGCCCCCATTTGCCACTGTGTGGTTTGCATTGACAATTTTTTTTTTTTTTTTTTTGTACTTTGGAGATGATGTGCAAATGATTCTCCAACACTCTCAGAGTGGTTTTCTAGTAACCGGTTTCTTCTGCACAGAGTCAGTGGGTTGCTCTTTCCAGATGGGTGCTTGGAATTTGCTTCAGTGCAACCTCCAGTGGGGTTTAGAATAGATACAGATAGATCAGAGGTAAACCCCACAGGAAAATCCAACCCAGTCTGAACTTCTGATTTCTGCTATCCTTACTCCTCGGATTTCTGATATCCTTACTCCCCAGAACAGTCCTGTGATGACAGTGGCAATCATGGTGCAGAAAGGAGACCCAGAAGAGCAGTCATTTGGGAAGCCTGCGGAAGCCACACTGGGATCCAGATTCGTGGTTGTGAATCGCTGGCTTGGAGATTAAAACCAAACAGCAGGACTGTGAGGAGCCTTCACTTACTGTGCAATCCCTGGCTACTTTGTAGAACGGTCACTGCGAGCAGGATTCTATGAGATAAGCAAATCAAGCACATGGGAAGTCTGCTGGAAAATGCATCAGCTTACTGCTGAGGTCTGTTACACGGCCGCATCCACCTAAGCGGGAGCACAGTCGGCATGCTGAAGAAAGGAGACAGCAGTTAGCCTTAACTCTTTCTAGAAGGAGGCATCTCACTCTGGACTCAAACTGCGAGCACCCTTTTAATGTCACAGGTTTTTCATCCCCATGAACCTTTTATGTTATGCACGTTACAAACCGGTTACACTTCCCATTGCAACCTAAACTGGAAGCCAGACCAAATGATTTCTTACTGGCCTCGTCTGAAACATCTGAATAGGCTCTTACCACTGAAAATCAAATGTCTGGCCCAGCTTGAAAACTGCCCCACTCCTCTGTTTTATAGCGGCTCTCATGCAACAAGTAGATTTTGACCTACAAAACAGGAATTATAACTAAATCCAGATTTTTATTCTGATCTCTTACTGTTAAGTGAGCTATGACTTGTATTCAGCACTGAAATCTGATGCAGCTTAATGAAGAGGAATCATATATTCTGGTGATCTTCCTCAATTCCAAGGTTGCCCATGTGACTCCGTTGAAGACCAGAGCAATGCAGAAATCTCGGTGCAGCCACTTTTTTTCTGCCCATCATAAGGTTCAGATCTGTTCTATGGTGAAAGGAGACAAAACACTTGCTTTTCCTCCCATAGACAAGGATACTCTCCCTTAGCTCTTAGCAGGATGCCTGTGCAAAACATTACCACCCAACACATCACCAGACTTAGCTTTTCATTCTTGTCTCCAGAGACCCCAACACTTCACTTCCTCCTCAAGTCTTTTTGTCCAGAGGGATCTCTACCACATAGCTGCAAGTTTTCCCCAGCATAGGCTAGACTTTGCAAGTTTCTGAGCAGAGGTAAAATGTCAGATTTCACTAGAAAGAGCTATGGTAACGGGATGTGTATGTACGGGGTGTGTAACCTTACCCTACCTCCCATGTATGAGATAAGAGAGTCTGAAAGCCCTGATTGTCCGTTAGTGGGAGGACTGTTGTAACACAGCTCTGTACGAGACAGCTGTAGGCAAAACTGTTGCAAAAACATCTTCAAGGGCCTCTTGGATCTTTGCAGGATGCCAGCAGAGGAGTTAAAACTGACGATCACCTCAGACTTGATAGGGTGAGACCAAAACCTGGTGGGAAGGGAGATTGTTATCCCCTTCCCGCAGGAGAGGCAGATGGAATGGGGGTACCAGGGAGCAGCTGTCACGCCATGGAAGGGATGGGCCACCACAGAGGTCCTGCTGGGGCTGCTACCCACCCATGTGCTCATCAAGGACTTCCTCACCAGTGCCAGAGGGGAGCATCCAGCCTCGCTGGGAGATGGACAGTGGGACAGTGGCTTCCAGAGCTGCAGAGCTTCCATGTGGTGCTGGTGGCCCACCGAGGAGACAGAGACAGCTCTTTGTAGTTGAGATGGGCCTCAAGGCTTCTGAGAGTGCCAGTCCACTGCAGCTTAAAGTTCGCTGTTGTCCTGGTTCAGCCAGGATAGAGTAAATTTTTCCCCAGCAGAGAGAGCGGGGAAGGGATCTCCAGCCGGGTTATTCATACCATGCTGACGTCAGGTCCAGGGGCGGAACCTCTTCCTTGCTCCTTGGGGGGTTCGGGAGGGAATTTTGCTTTCCGTAGACCAGCTAGCGGTATTTCTCTGTATATCGTTTGTCTTGTTCACTGTTATTGCTGTTTATTGTTGTGACCATTGATACTGTTGTTATTCAGATTGTTCTATCACTCTGTTGTATTAAATTTCTTGTTATTTTAGCCGGGGTCTGTGTCTAATTTCCAGCCCGACCGGCGCGGGTGGGGGAGCGGCAACGGCCACGTGCTCTCTCATCCCAGAAAGAATTAAAACTTGCACAGCTGTCATCCCACCTTGCCTCCTGCACTTGCCCTGGTGCTGGTGTGATCACACGCTGGCCCAGCTAGCAAGCGGCTCCAGCCAAAGGCAAATCCCCTCTTTGGATGGATTAGCTTTAAATCGCATAAACCTGACCCAAAAGGAAGAGCGTGGCTGTGTTTCCAAAGATGGGGAGTCTCTGACAGCTCTTGTTTAGATTATTTTAACCTATAGAACTGTGCAAAACCTCCTTTCTAGTTGCCATTGCCACCAGCTAGGAATAAAGGGCCTACTGAAAACCTTAAAGATTTCATAAAAGTTTTCAGTAACAGTGCCTATAATCTACCAGGGGAAAAAAGCATACTGAAAAGAAAGACAGGTAGAAATTTAAACCAGAACAAACTGTGTGTCAACCTTTAATTGTGAGAGCAGATAACAACTGCAGCAAACTACCATGGGGAAACACTGGATTATCCATCTCTTGAGCAATCTGAAGAAAGTCTGCAGGCAAATTCAAGTTATTGAAGGTGCTGTGAGTTTTGTGATGAGATTATATTATCCAGGGATTATATGAGTACTAAGAGATCGTTAATCATCTCCATTAGCCTTCAAATCTGTGAATTTGCAAACTACCATCTGCAACTAAAACCAATGGCAGAAGCGAGAGGCAGGGCTCACAGATGCAGACTCCCAGGGGGTTGGCCCAGTTGTGATGTGACCACTACACTCCTCCACACTGGTTGCTAGAGCTGTGGATGACAAGGGGATGTGAAAAAGATGCGATTTCAAAGAGAAAACCTGTGGTGGGGGAAAGTACAAACTGCGTGGAGCATAGTCTATGGGCAGCTCAGCACCCAAGAGCTTCGCATAACTGAGGCGGCACTCCCGAAACCTCACTGATTCTCTGTAATCGCCTTTGCTGTGTTTGCCACCTGCAGCCTGATGTGACATGTCCTGAGTTTGTTCACAACTCCCAAATCAGAATAAATTGTTTTTTCAGTCTGATTTGCAAACCCTCTTTCTGCCCCCACCTCCGCCTCCTCCTTCAGCTTTTGTCTTCCTTTCCTGCACCACTGAAATTTTTGACCGTTTGTTCTCCCCCTGGGTTCCAGGAAACCGTGTGACTAATTAAGCACTTGGGGCAAGCTCAGGTGCAAGGAAAAAACAAGTCAGATGACGGGCTGCTGCCCACTCGCTCCAGCGAGTGCATTCCATCTCAGCATGGGTCTGCCCTACTACTTCGTAAGGGAAAAGAAAATGCTGGGCTTCCCTGGGCTACCCACTCCGGAGCCTCACAGCACAACTGGATCAGCAAAAATGAGTCTCCCGCTGTGGATGCAAAAGTGCTGGAGGCCTGGACAGAGGCGTAACCTCCTCTTCCCTACTGGAAGAATTTGGCCTGCATACTTTGTCACACATTCGAGTGGCTCCATTCCATCAGGTTTCAAGCAGTTTTGGGCGTGTACATCAGAGGCTTTCTGAGAAGGAGTCTGCAGTCCACAGCCCGAGTTGCCAGAGGTGGCACGCAACAAGGCAGTAGAAGGGCTAAAGGGTGGGGACATCTTCAAAAAGACAGTGACTCTGTGTTTCTGTGTCCTCCTCGCGTCTAAACACAGCAGGAGCGTGGAGCTCATACTTTGCACAGATCCTGCTGGTGAAGGGGCCTGCTGGCATTTCTCGGAGAAGGGGTGTCTTTTGGCTTTTGCTGAGATCAGAACTTGGTGGGAGCTGCTACAGTAGCATCTCATCCCTTGGAGCAGGAACTTCCCAGCTGTTGCTGTGCTTCTTAACAGCAAATTTAACCTCAGATTTTTGAAAGACTGCTGTTCCCTGCACGAGTACACTCTGCACATCTATACTGGACTTCATGTCTCTACTTTTATCCATGTATTGGGGGGAAGGATTGCTGCATCTCCCTGCAGGAAACCTCAAATGCTTGTAAAGGCAGCCAGTGACAGAAAAAGGGCCTCACTCCTGAAACTCTGGGGGAGGATTTCACCATAGCCCCACGTGGGTGGGATGCTCCTACCTGTCACCACGCTCTCAGCATCTCCAGACATGCAGTTACACCACATGTCAGACAAAAAAGAAGAGCTTCCCAACTGCAGATTTGATGCTCAATTATAGAATGGAGCATGACAGCTACTACTACCGTGTATTAATAACTCCGCTCCCCCTTATGGCTTTAGCAGCTGTAGCAACCAAGATTTATAATGACATATTATGTTCAGCAATGCATCATGTAAGGAAACTAATCTGACAGTGCCAGGTCACTGAGCTGACTTACAAGTTTTTAAGTGCATTTCTTCTGCCAATTTTGCTGCCCTGTTTACTGAATTGAAATGATCAAGGTGCACTCTGTTCATAAAACTCTGTACTTGCCTCTGTTTTGGCAGCTCCCAGACTCTTTTTCCCCCTGTCTCACTGCCATCCCAGGAGCCATTTGGTCCTTCTTCCTTCCCCATCCTCTCTTTGAAAATCCTTTGAAACGGGTCTTGTGGTGTGTATCCCGATATGGGGTACACTGCAGGACAAGCGGGGGGGGACTGCAGCTGGGAGGAGGCTCAGGGGACACAGGCAGAGATGAGGGATGGAGTGGCTGTGGGAGAAGGCTTGTCCAAGTACAGAGGGGGACTGCAGCTACTGCCACTCACTGCCTCTTGGCAGGTATTTGTCTGTATCCCAGTCACTCTCAGGAAAAAGGACAGCTTGCCAGCATTGGGATCTTCCATTACTTCTCTCTAGGCTCGGCATTGCAGTTGGCAGTGGCAAAGTCAGTCCTAAATAAACGTTAAATGTTAAGACTGTACCACGGAGTGGGGTCTGGATCTGCGTCAGAGCCACAGCACCCAAGCAGTAACCTATGCTTCTTAATCTCTTTTCTCGCTGGTGGGCTGTGTGCTTCCATGGGTGGGCTGTGTGCTTCCACGGTTTCCATCCTCATGGCACAATAACGCCCTGTGCAGACATGAGCTGATGGATAGTGGGAGGCCGGCTCTCGTTAGGGGGAAATGGGCTTGCTCTCCTAGGCGTTCATTACTCAGAGATGCATTCCTTGGTATTCCTGCAACTTTCCCAGAAGGCTTTAAATGGCGTTTAAAAATCCCATCCCACGAACCCCTTCTGTGGGACCACTGAAAAGCGATTAAAAAGAACAAGTGTAATTGTCAGGAGGTCTAAATTCACTGCATTCCCACTGACAAACACTCAAGGTCTACAAACCAGAGGAGGCAGAAAACACCCCAGGTATCCTTTTGAGACAGAGTTAACTCTCTTTTTCCAAACATTTTTGTGAAACAAGAAACCATGAACCTTTTATTAAGACTTTAACATCTGTAATAGCAGTATGCGCTGCAGTTTATCTTTGCCTTTGTTGGTATCTAATGAATATTACAAACAGAAAATATTTCTCAACATGTAATTTAATTGCTCTTTGCCTGGGGGGCAACAAAAAATATACTGTCCAAAATAATCAGTTATTGTCATAAGACAATAGTATTTGAGGAGGAAATATTGCTGAAGAAATATTCTTAAGAGATGAGACCATTCACTATTTTAACCTCCAAGGAGACATTTCCTTACTGGTGGTTATGCCTCTGTCATCTCTGCTACTACTTCTTTTTGAGTTCCCTGTTAGCTTTCTTGTTTTAGAAACGCAGGAAAAAAATGTTGAGAGAGATCTGGAGCCTCATGTCCAACTCTGTACCACAACCATATTACATATTTTCTTTCCTAGCCTTGTCTTAAAATGATTTAGGTTTTTTTTAACTCCCCTCCCTCCCTCCCTCCCTCCCTCGATGCTCTGAAGTCATGGTTATCTCATGGGGCAAAAAGATGGTCATTTGCCTTGAATCTGATTCTTGTGTCAATGTTATCCTTTAAATAGCTCTTTTTTGTTGTTTCCTGTTATTTATCCCTATAGTGAGCTATCATAGAAAAATAAATAAATAAATAAACCAACCTACCCCATATTCCTGCTCAGTTTCAGCTTTGTTGGTGAAACAAGGCAAAGTCTGTTTGTGTTTGCTTGGCAAAGAGCAGCTTTTCAGTTTCCTCTTAAAAGGTCAGCTCTTTCTCCCCCTGTGTGTGTGCAGGTTATAATTTATCTTTCTTGACTGTGTATGGCCAAACAGTGTAACAGATGTGCTGGGTTTTTTTTCCCTAATGCTTTGTAAATACTTTTTTAGCTCTACTAGAAATATGTCAGCTGGCCTGTCCTAGGATAACTTTTGCTTTTTTTCCTGTGTACTGAGTTTGATTATCCCACAGAAGGCAAATATCCCAGGTCCTTTCTGTCCTCTTTTGCTGAAACGTTGAGGGTTTACAGCAGAAACTGTAGCTTTTATCCCCGCAGCGCATGTGTTTGCACCGTGTACTATTAAAGGCCAGCCGATTTTTATTAGTCTGGATCTCCAAGGAATTCATTGCTTCCTGATAGCTCGTCCTCCCCCAGGTCTCCAGTGCCTCCCACAGCTGGGATTTTCAGCCTCGCACTCTCTCTTTTGCCATGTCCTTGAGAACGCATCCTTGAAGTTTTTGTCTTAACTCCTAGTTCGGCTGTTTCTGATGTGGCACCGGAGGAAGCTCTACAGCAGAGCCTGGAAGTGTTGGCTCAGTGCGGACGGAGGGGGTGGGAGTAGCCCCGCCGCGGCGGCCGTTACTAGGGCGACCGTCCCCGGCGCCGCCGCCCCGC